CGGACCACAGTGAAACCGATACTGATGAAAATAATAAACGAAGCACCCGCATTTTAAACAAATACTTAAAAAAAAAGAAAAAAGCCAACACTCGGACGGATTTCAAAAAACGAAAAGTACCTAAGCAAGCGTCGCAGATCCCTGCAAACTTGATTGCGGAAGTAGGCTACTTCTGGTAGCTACGGAGTGCATTTATGTGACTGAACAAACTAGAAATATGTGGCTGCAGGAAAAAAAAAAAGCCTGTTATAGGTTTTTGGCTAGTTAGCACAAATTCTGTGAAGATTCTCGATTTTCCACTCTCAATTCAAGCAACGGCTGAGCATGCAGAAAATTCTCTGAGCAAATGACATGCAGAAAATTCTTGGTTCATCGGAACCGAGATTCTAGCAATGACTGAAGAAATGCTCGGGCATCAAAAGACAAAAGTAAAGAATATACACAAAATTACACATCAAAATGTCAATCTCATCCGAAAATCTGTGGAAATAGATAAATTATTAGTAAAATAATATTTATACAACACAAATATTAGTTCCTATTTGATAAAATTGCTAAAAAGCACCGTCAAAGAAGCAACGACAGAAATATGGGAAACCACATGGGATATTCGAACAAAAAAATGATAGGCTGACCTACCCTTCGAAATTTATCGAGGAATCTGCCCCACAGAAAGATAAGAACATTAAGGAGAAAGCATAGCGTTATCAGATCAGTGCAACAGCACTTCAAACTAAGGGCAATTCAGTGCGAAAGGCACCTAAAAACATGCAAAAACAGGCACAACAGGCCTAAAACAACAATGAACTAAAATTGTGCCTATTTGACCTTAAAAAATTAAATGATTTCTCTCACTTAAATGTAAGATATACAAAAAAATTAAATGGTTATCCCAACTTAAATCTCTATACATTGATTATTACACTGAGCTAATGCAGCAAAACTGGTGGATTCGCGCAAAATGACTAATAACAAAGCTGAAAAATTCATACAAACTGATGAGCAGCACATTTACAAGAGCATGAACACAACACCCACAATTAGAGTGGATGAATTTAATTATGTGAATACGGATGACGGCACAATACCCTCCTTGGATGCAAATCCGGGCACCAGATTCACATTGCAGAGGAAATCGAGTGGGAATTCCACAAGACTACCGACCAGATCTCGAAGATACTCTTCGGCCACCTGCGGCACAGATTCGCTCAAAGGAATCTTCGCAACGTGAACTCTTAGTTCCTCGAAATCCTTCAATTTATCGGTTGGGAGCACATTGAACACCTGAAAAATGAATATCAGTCAAGACGAAATACCAATTCACTTTAAAATTATAACGAAAAAAAAGGTTTCATACAAGTCAGTCTTAAGCTTTACCTTTTCGAAAATTTCCGTATTCTTTTTGGCAATTGCTCCCCAAGTGCCTACGAAGAAGGAATCGGCGACTGGGTCGTCCAAATCTATTTTCATTCGAGGCGGCTTTCTCTTCTGCTCTGGTAATAATCCAAGGTGCTCCTGCAAATATGCCATAAAGTTTAATTTTCAGTCGCAAAAAGTAATTTTCAGCGGCTAGATTTTTTATTCCTGTGCAATTTTAACGTGATTTGGTTTTTCTAAGGAACACAGTTCAGGGATGAAAAACGTCGCCAACTCTAAATACCGGTTTGCATACCTGAGATATCTAAATGCCTTTTTTTGGAGTTTGACCACATATTAAAATTCGACTGTTTTCCTTTGTTGGTCTACACTACGACCAAATTACACATGTGGTCGTAAGAAACGTCCTACCCCGTCTTGCTTTTGCCTTTAAAAACTGCTTAATTTCATTATTTTCATTAGCAACTTAGTACCATTCAAAATTTTCCAGTACTTTTCTAAGGAACATAATGATAAGATTTAAAAAAATCTTGAAGAGTTCCGATACTGAGATGTGTAATAGTCAAAAAGCATTCCTCACTAATATAGTACAACTTCATCTGTTCGTTAAATGATGAGCAGTGCAATGATGAACTGGCTTACCATCATCAACTGCTTGCGTAAACTTATAGCAAATTTTCCAGCATCATATGGCTTCCCGTCCATTTTTGAAGGTACATATTCACAGTCCTTG